TATCAAAACAAATGTGATGGTACAAAAACATGGACATGAAAGAAACGTTGAGCTGAACTTAAAACTTGTAGCGTTTTCTTTGTAAAGAGGATGAAAAGACACACCATAGTCTCAGGTAAAATTCCCTCTCTGCTTGTTTCCTCTGTTCCTCTCCCAGTTCCTATTGGTTTCCACTACAGCCTTAGAATACTCATTTTGGTGGCTTTCTCAATAAAGATTAATTACTTGATTCTTAGTTGTGGTCTGTGAGGTGGCCTGGATGCATTTTAACAGTAGTTGCTCTTCCTCTTTCCCAGAAAGAACAATCTTGGGGAGTGAGCTCTTGGGATGTGTCTCCAATCCTGGGGAACGAGGCTTTAAAGGGAATAGAAATCTCCATAATTGTGAGGCCCCTGAGAATATCACACTACAGCAGCTTCACCACACTCCACTTCAAGAAATCCACTAAGGATTTCTCATTTGTTCTTGGACTAGTTTATAAGCCATCATATAAAATGTGCCTGCATGTTCTCTGCCCCAGGTTAGATACTATTCCCATACTGTTTCTCCTGGAAACCACTAGCTTCTCTCCCAATTTCAGGTTTTTTGTTTGCCGTATAACTTCAGTTGTCGAATGTAACGAAGAAAGTTCACTAATTTGCAGTTTATTCAGTAGAGTTGCTGTTATAAGAATAGAAACAACATTTTCTCCATCTGTGTACATCCTGCAGCTGAGCAGTAGTTATATTCGTAATACCCAGAATCTGGAAACACTGCAAACACCAATCAGAAGCATAACTGGCAAACACATTGTGGCATAATCATTCATTGGAATTCTTCCCATCATTACCATCCATGACTGCTTGATACACGCAGCAAAATTGTTGCCTTCACAAGCAGTGATTTTAAATGAAGGAATACAGACAAATAAATACACAGTATACGATCCATATTTAAACATTTTAAGAAATGAAAACTAACCTAAAGTAACACAAATATCAGGAGTTGCCTGTGAACAAGCTGCGTTAAGGGAAGATGTGGGAGGGAGGAGTTACAGAGGGGAAAGGAGACTTTGAATGGTGGTGGATTGCCTCAGGACCTTGATTATTATGACAGTTGCACAGGTGTGTACATATGTCAACTCTTATCAGCTGTACAGTTGACAAATGTGCCGGTTATCACAGGTCAATTACGCCTCCTTAAAACTATTGCAAATAAAGAAATGGATAATTAGGGAAAGAGGGATAGAGTCCTAGATGACACCAGATTGTTAGAGACTCCCAGAAATACACATGCCTGGACCCTGTGTCTCTACATTCTCTCAGTAAACACTAGAATGCAGCAAAACCACTCCATGATCTCATCACACGAAGGGGCTCTGCAGACCTCACTGGGCATGCTCAGCTCTGTCACAGTCTGGGACATGGGATCAGTCAGGTCCCGTGAGGAGCACAGGTCCCCATACTGGGCTCTCCCTTACCTGCTGTGTGCTCTCAGACACATCACCCCATCACTCTATGGTTCCTATTGTGTGGAGGCAAAATTGAGAGCTATGCCATATGCTTTGCGTGTGTATGTAAAAATGAGTAAGATGACGGATGCTAAGTGTCACGGAACAATTTCATAATAAAATATCATATTTTCCCAAATGTTCTCATTGCCACCAAACTGCCCCAGGACACTCGCATCGACTCTGTGGTACTCTTCTCTCTCAAGGTGCCCAAACCCAGAGCTCGCTGTATATTCATACATTCGAATAAGGCCCCCCTTCTGTTGAAGTAAAGCCATCCATCCCACACCATGCAGCTCTGGGAGAGGAGCCCCAGCCCCAGGATTCCCAGGTGCCCCATTCAGTGATCAGGCCTGAACGCAGAACGCTCAGCATGGATTTTCTGCCTAGATGGATTCCACTTGTTGCTATTTGAAGAGGTAATTTGTGTAGAACAAGAGACATCGAGTATGTGAGAGGATATGAGTGAGAGAAGCAGCAGATGTGAGGCAGTTTTCTGACCAGGATCTTTGTGTTTGCAGGCGTCCAGTGGGCGGTGCAGCTGGTGCAG